GCAACACAGTGAGACTCTGTCTCAAAAAAAAAAGAAAATACCCAAAGCAGTCTAGAGATTCAGTGCAATGCCTATCAAAGTTCCATTGTCATCCTTCACAGAAATAGAAAAAAATTCTAAAATTTATATGGAACCACAAAAGTCCTCAAATAACCAAAGCAATCTTGAGCAAAAAGAATAAAACTAGAGGCATCATAGTACCTGATTTCAGAATATATTACAAAGCTAATAGTAATCAAAATAGGCATAGTACTGGCACAAAAACCAGACACATTACCAACGAAATAGGAGAAAGAGCCCAGAAATAAACTCATGCGTTTATGGTCAACTGATTTTCAACTAAAGTGTCAAGAACACACAATAGGGAAAGGACTCCCTTTAATAAAAGGTATTGGAAAAATTGGCTAGCCACGTGCAGAAGAATGAAATTGAACCTTCATGTTACCCCACATACAAAAATCAACTCAAAATGGATTAAAGCTTAAATGTAAGTCCTGAAACTATAAAATTATGAGAAGAAAACATAGGGGAAAATATCCACAAAATTGGTGTAGGCAATGATTTCTTGGATATGACCCCAAAAGCACAGGCAACAAAAGCAAAAATAGACAAGTGGGACTGCATCAAACTAAAAACTAATGCACAACAAAGGAAACAATTAGCAGAGTAAAGGGATAACCCATAGATTGGGAAAAAATATTTGCAAGTCATACATTTGATAAGGGGCTAATATCCCAAATATAGAAGAAACTCAAACTACTGAACAACAAGAAAACAAATAGAAAACAAATAACCCTATTACAAAATGGGCAAAGAACCTAAATAGACATTTCTCAAAAGAAGACACACACAAATGGCCAACAGATATATGAAAAAAAATGCTCAACTTCACTAATCATCAGGAAAATGCAAATTAAAATCACAATGAGATATCACCTCCTATCTGTTAGAATAGCTATTATAAAAGGATGAAAGATAACATTTGTTGGTGAGGATATGGAGAAAAGGGAACCCTCTTACACTGTTGGTGGGAATGTTAATTAGTACAGCCATTTTGGAAACAGTATGGAGATTACTCAAAAAACTAAAAATCAGGCCAGGCGCGGTGGCTCACGCCTGTAATCCTAGC